TTTTCGCAGTTCTAGACCAAGATGCACGCAACGTTGCGGATCTTTGTAGATACCACAACCTCAAGCGGTGGTGTCTATCGCCGTCAGCATTCCATGACATGAAAGCAAAATGGCCTGAGTAAGGATGCATATACGAAGTGGGACAGCGCACAGTTTTTTTCCTGTTGTGGTGGGATGCACCGGTGATGCTGGTAGGATGGGGTTCATGCCGCTTGCTGCGAGTCGGAAGCACGGCGGAGATTGACGGCACTCGAAGAAGTCAGGCCTGCCATCTTCACCCCAACACTCCACGCTCTCGCAACACAACACTTGCACCATGCCTGCCAGTATAGAATGCGATGCCCAAATTGCCGCTGGATTCCGCACCTGAATGCTGACCATGTGGCGTTGCAGCTGCAATCTCCCCCTCGGTTCCCCTGCCAAGGCGTCGCGCCATCCAGCCGCTCCGGATTGTTTCGCGTTTAACAGACACGCCTCGAAGCAGTTAGCACTGGAGATATCGGAATCACGCCGGGATATGTCTTGGCTTTACATGACTAGTGTTTGCTTTTCGGACGGTAGCTGGGCGGAGAGACTATTGCTCCACTCGCTGCACTTGCAAGGCTGGCGCGCTCCGACAGCACCGACCATAACGAATCTTCATCTCGATCTGCGATCCGTGGTTCACCCGGTCATTGCTCTCCAGGCAACCTTACATGTTCTGTCAATGATGTTGACATATTGGAGGCTTCTTTCCGTCTTCCGTGTATATCGACAGCTCGCCAGCAACCGCAATAGCCAGCAACAGGATATGGCCACCTGTATAGCTGTCCGGATGTTCGCCGACTTATCAGCTGGAATATACACGTAACGGGCAAGGTGACTCCCGTGCATCAGCTGCGCCGTACAGCAATAAATTCTCCTGTTTCCATTCACGGCTCATCACATCTTGGCTCAGGGATGCATGTGGTAGGCTTCAGATTTCCGACCCCTGAGAGGTATGGGAGGGTGCAGGCGAATAGAAGAGTCGGACAAGGCAAGAATGGGTTCAGCTTCGTCGCAACTACAGACTCCAAGCCATCAACGCCCTGTATGCGGTGTCGCGTCACGTACACAACCTCCTTCAACACTCAGCGTGCAGCATGAAAGATCGGGTAGGTATTGGCGAGGTATCTACATTGTACGTATTGGCAGACTGTGGACAGCCGCTATCAAGGCGTCTCCTTCACGCCATCAACATAAACCTCCACTCTCTCGTTATAGAAGCACATGTGTCCGGCAATAGGCGCGCTCTCCGCGGTCGGGTATCTATAGTACCATACAAGATCCCGATACAGCTTGCCGCCAACGCTAACGTTGTAATACTCCGCGCGACCCTTATACGGACACAATGTCAGCGTGTCGCTCGGTGTGAGATACTCCCAGTTGACGCTCGTGGGCGGCAAATAATGCCTAGTCCTCAGTGTAGTCTCCAGGAGGAACAAGGCACTCGAGCTTTCAGCAAGTGTAACGCCGTCGATAGCTACCCTGACGTTTCGAGAAGAAGGTAAAATGTCGATGCGCTTGTAGGGATCTTTGGGATGGCCATATATCTCCATGTCTTCTTCGAACCATTGGTCAACAGCTCGGAAGTCGACTTTTACGAGATCTTTGAGCTTGCCGGTGTTGAAGATGAGGATGCGATTGCTACTGCGATTGCCGACTGTAAGACTCGCTAGGTGCGCGCCACCATCTGTGCCGTCTACAGCGGAGCCTCGCGATAGCTTGGCGTGGGGAGTGAAGCTTGAAACGGGTACGAAATATCTGGTATGTTCAGCACAGCAAGCGCATACGGATGAGGAAGCCGTCCATACTGTGGGTAACGCAACTCAAGTTCCCAAACATGATGCGCATTCAGCGTATCGAACGCATAACTTCCGTTGAGAAGGCCCCGTACGCGACGTGCTGTATGCTCTATCCTGCAAGGTCCATCTCGAACGAGTCTCTGTGCTAGTCGTACTAGACTGCATCTGTCAGTTGACCATTACCAGACGCATAGTGGGATATTGGTGGAAACGCAACTCGCTGGTGTTTGCCATACTAAGTGTCTTCTGTTCGAGTTTGGATTTGCGATGAGATTTCGAGACGAAGTGGCGTCGAATGCTGCTGAAGAGATTTCGTGCGCACATAGGAAAGGCGATGTCAACTGGTGATGATGTAGGCTACCTCAGTACCGGAAGCGGGGCCGTTCTGATTGGCAGGAATAGCCGGAAGCTTACCAACCACACCGAAGACACCACCTCTACTAATCACAAGATGCAGTCTTCCGGGCTTCGCACTCGAGCTTAAAGTCTTCGCGGGATACTTCAGATGTGTACATTAGTGGGTTAGTAAGTCGATAACAATGGTTTGCCATGGCGGTTCGTCGGAATGGTACTCAACCACGATACCTCAATGACAAGATGCAGTCCACAACCATGTACATGGTGTCTGTTTGTACATTCAGAATCACCCCAGGAGGATCTCACCGGATTATCAACGCAAGATACCCACTCCAAACGTCGCCTCGGCATACGATGTGTCGTTCCTCCACGATCGACGACTAGGCGATACTTCGGCCTGGCGGTCTACATAAGAGATCGTGAGCGCAATGAGGCGCCCTGCCATCCCTGGAGTCGTCGCGCCTGATCGCCACAAGCGATGTTTATCTTGACAGCAAAGCTCACTCGGTAACCTCAAGATGATAATCCGCCGGGTTGGTATAGCCAAGTGGAGACTACCTACCTAGGTATTCACGAAGGCACGTGACTCTATGAGTATACGCACCGCACCCGGTCACTCACCGCGCGAGCTAGTGTAGCCTAGTAGCGCTTGGATCCACTTCCCATGTCTGCCTTGCGACAACAGTTTGTTTTTCTCACACCAACTGTCACAATCTCGTCGATTTCGTCTTTGACCAAGATCATCACGACCATGTCCGGCTCGCACTCCCCTCCACGCGCTCGACCGGCTTCGCCAGCTCAGCCCGACTCTCCGCATGCAGATGCCTGCGAGTTCGACGACTTGAGCGTTCCAGATCCCAAGGCCACCCACGAGGAGAAGGTTCGCTTTTACCTCGCCCAGCTGGATCTACCAGACGGTTTTCTGTTCGGGCAAGACGAGTAAGTACCCCCTGTAGTCCTGTACTACGGTCATGTCTAACCTTGTAGCTCGCTTCTCAACGCCGACGAGCTACGCGCTAAGTTAGGAGAGCTCAGGCGTAGAGGTCGCGCTATGCGTGTCTGGCGCAAGGACATCGAGAGCGTGGCCCGCGAAGAACGTGCGAGGAATGACGCCACGGAAGTCCGTCGAGACGCTCTTTCGACAGAGCTCGCTAGGCTCCAGGAGGAGCTCGCTCAGGCTAAAGCTGAACTCGCTCAGGGTAAAGCTGAGATGGATGAGAAACTACATGCTCTTCTCGACTCGGTGTTTGGCGCTCTCCCCTAAAAACAGTGAGACCACCACTTCGTAAGTTCAGCTTCCCATCTATTACAGGACGACCTCACTAACGAATAAGGGTGCTCACCAAGGCGGCGAATTAGACGGATGATGAAGGATAAGTAAATCCGCGTGTATCAATACAGGAAACTTTGGATGTACAGGGAGTGAGTAGACATGTTGATGTCGCCGCTATGAGGCAACACTGTCGCCGTAAACCTCGACGAATAAAACGATGTGTCCACAAAAGCTTACGTTGCATGTGAACCTGGTATACTAATGATTCAATGTTGCACTCATCATCTATTATGCAGTTTGGAGTGACGAAGGGATTTCGCTTATCCTGATGGTATCTTCGCACAGTATCTGACGTCAGTGGTTAATAATCAACCCATCCCATTTCTTTAATGCGAAAGCTACTTTCCACGTATCAGGTAAAGATGTATTCATCTTCCTCAAGCCTCGCCGCTAGGGAAAGGTACTCAATGAAAATGGTCCATCCCGCGATGCATACTCATGGCTGACACCAGAGCTGCAGGCGACCGGAGATGAACAAGCCCGTGTATCAACTCATCGCTTGCGTACAAACGACAAATCGCACATCAGACTTGCCCACCAATTGAGGCGTGTAAGTTCCCGTGAGAACTAACCTGAGAAATGAACTGCACTGCGGGCGAGATTCCGATCGGACTGTCAGACCCGAATCGAAGTATGAATCTCTGGCGAACGTTCCAAGAAGCTTGGTCAGTTCCTCGCACATGCCCCCAGCACAACGAAGCACTCAAGATCCCGTGAAACCTTGATATGTGATCCGAAGTGACTCATCAGTAAGAGAATCCCTTAAAGTGAGCCCAAGCCGATGAGCTGTGGAGAAGGCAGTAATGACAGTTAGAGAAGAAAAGAGCGAGTTAGAGGGGCAGACCGAGCTGATATAGATAGGTAGATCCACTAGGCGCTTAGCGCCCCAGGACGCACGTGACATTTATGGCCTAAGTAATAGGCAGCGTAGATGACGGCGAAGTGAACGAGAAATAACCCTGTCGAAGGCGAGAGAGAATAACCGATACTCTACGTACGTCATTGCGAACTTTCTAGCACCGGATGTCTAATGTCGCACCCGCCATTGAGCTAGCTCGTAACATGTCGCATCGCCCACTGCGCCTTGATGCTTAGCGACATTGGCTTTCGGGAAGTGACCTTGGAGGACCACGACGACGTCAAGCAGTCATCTGAACCTACGCCCTCCATTATCCCGAGGCTTCAGCCGACTACGGAGTGATCACCATGTCGCGCGGAGGTGTAAGGTAGGGGCTTGGAGACTTTATACTGGTTTGTGGTGGTCGGAGAGGTCGGTCAGGAGAGGATATATACCTATGACAGCACTTGATTAGATCAAATGTTGTTGCAGGTCTTAACGACGACCTCCCGGGCATATCAATGGCAGCGAGATCGAATAGCGTTGCTGGGACGTACCCGCCAAGCCATTGTAGAATAATTGATACAAGACACTAGAAACACCCTCCTTTACACGCCCGTGACAACTATGAGACGAGACCTTCCTACTTTCACTTAAAGCTAACACCGTAACTATTCCAACCCACCGACTGATCCCAACCCTGAACCAGTGTCTTCCCACCTGGGCCCGTACATACATTACCCTTCTCAATTTGTTCCTCCTCCTGCACCTTTCCATCGTTCTTCCGCCCATTATCCCAGCCGTTTTGCATGCCAAACCCAAGGTAACAATCATCACGCTGAATAGGCGCAAATCCGTGAATCTCAAAGGTCACAGCGAGAGAAATGTCAGGCTTCTTCTTGTCGGGATTGGGCAGCTTGAAGGTATAGTCGGCGGTGAGAGGCGGCATGATGGGCTTGTTGTGAGGGTCGATGACGGGTTTGGGAAGGAGAGGAGGATTGGGAGCGTCGGCGCGGACGTGGTCGTCGCACCACTTCTTTGCTGCCTTGTGGAAGTCTTCTAGAGTTGGGTGGGGTTTTGATGAACAGGATCGCTTGTCAGCTCGCTGTACGAGATTGGCTGGCTCTGCGAGTGGTGCAGCGAGGACGAGGCTCAGGAGGAGCGAGGTAGAAAGAAGCTGACACCTCATTTTCAGGTATGATAGCTGTATTTCGATTACTTATGTGCGATGCTTTGGTTGCTGAGTAAGGTGGATATGTTGCTGGCGGCTGGGTCAGTGGTAGTGATATCAAAGTATAGTCTTCGGGTTGAGGAGTAGTGTAGTAACGGAATACACATTATATACCTCACGCGAGTCACATCGCCGCTGTGAGTATTGGGAAATCGTACGAAGCTATTTTCCAACACCATCGTTCCCCTTGTGTTTCCTCTCCCACGCCTTTATTTCGATACACTGCGTAGCTTCGGATGTGGTATTGCGACGAGGTGCTCGTGAAGCGGAAGGTCGTGGCAAGACAGCTGTCGTATGTATTGACGACGGCCGGTGAATCCAGGTACGAACGGCAAAGGTCTTCCGAGCGAAAGTTGCGCCGGACTTGTGAAAGAAGCCGCAAATGCGCTATGGCAATCGATCTCCTATGCTACGCCGTAAACACTCGAATTTACTGCAACGCTTTACTCTTCAACCAGCGCTATGATTAAGTCGCGAATATCAAGCTTACCGATGGGCAAAGTCAAGCAATTCTTTCGTTCGCTAAGTCGTCGACTGTCGATCCCCATTTTTAAAGCGCGTGGCGAGTCCATAAGGTCGCGCGAATCAAGCCCTTTCTCTTCTCTGGCGCAACACGACACCGACAGCAAATCTACCTCGACAATAGAAACCCGAGCAACGTCCCACAACGAAGCGCGAACGTCGCCGTCTACACCACCGATCGCACCAATCGACCGCACATGCCCCGAGACAGTGAAGCGGGGTGGAGCGTCCATCGACAACGCTCCGAGAAAGGATACGGTCAATCAGCGTATAAGCGATTTGAATGCGTACGCAGGTCTCCAAGTCAATGTTGCGATATTGCGTTTCGTACACAGGCTACCGCTGGACGAACTGCGCATCATTGGCCAGAGACTGACGCTGTCTTCGTCTTTTGCTGCGGGAAAACAATCTGAGGAAGACGATCGGCGTCTTCCACGAAGCGTCGCGCGACCAAAGACTATGAGCCTTGCTAGTATGACTAGGGACTTGAGTAGGTCTTTCGTGTGTGGCCCGGAGAACAGGATTGAACGCAACCGTACTGGAGACGAATGTCGACACGATCGATGCGCCATACAGGAAAGGCCGAGTCTCTATTCTTCGGAGATAGACATCGAATCACAAGCGGACGCAGTAACGCTTAGCCTTGCCAGTCAAGAGAGCGTCTCAGCATGGTCGTTCGCGTGTTCTTCGGCGCAACTCGTCGAGCGGGAACACGCAACTCGGCAGCGTGGAGCTGCGGACATGGAGCGCGCGCCTTCCTTCACAACACGATCGGCCGACTCATGTGATCTATTCCTGGAATCGATTGGCCTCTCGATACACCCAGAAAGTATTCCAAGAACCGACCACGAAGACACGGATGACTTTGACATGGAAAACTTACCAAACTGGTCCGACGTGGAGGACGACCCAGAGTACAACCAGTTTGAAGAGCGGTCATTCCACTGGACGGATACGGATAGCTCCCACTCTTCCAGGAAGTCGATGAGAATGGCGGACACACCATCGCCAGCATTTTACATGCCCGCTGTAGATGTCGACACTGTTGCACCTAACATGCATGGCGATGTCGCGCATAGCAATAACGGGTGAAGGATGATGAAAGAACTGAGGTTTGCAGGTGGTTGGAGTGTTGGAGCACCAAGACACAAGGGGAAGGCCAAGCGCCGGCGGCTAGCGGGTTCGCGTGTCAGGGAGCCGGGCTGGATTCGCAAGTCGCGCAGGACGGCGGTTCAGGGCCAATGCGCCATCATCGTCGTCGACACCTCCACATCCACCCAACACCCACCGCCTGCTCAATGTGCCACGGTGACGTCGCCCACCTGCCCATCGCACCTTCCTCCTCATAGCATCGCTTCCTATCACCGGCGACTCCCCGGGCCCCTAGCGACCGCCTATCCCCCACGGCCGCAGCGACGGCAACATGCTGAAACCGCTGGCTGGCCGTTTGGCACGGCGGCCATGGAGATTTCTCTTCCCCGGCCTCCTTCTTTTCTTTTTTGCATACACACTCTCGCACCGGCGAGGGTCACATCCCCAGGCGCCCGTACACAAAGCGAAGACAAAGTCGTATTTCCCGCCCCTCGAAACCAAAGCCGCCAATTCAATCGAGCTCGACTACTGCCAGAATTTCCCTACCAAGCTACTGGAAGAGGTGCAGGTTGTCCTCAAGGTCGCATCGGACGGGGCACATGAGACGAAAGCACACCTGAGCACGGTATCGAGCTGCATCACGAATCTGATCATCGTGGGCGACCGGGAGGAGCGATTGGGAGACCGCCATGTCATCGACATCCTCGCAGAGCTTCCCAAGAGCTACCAGAAGGACAACGTCGACTTCCAAATCTACGTCGAGCACAAGAAGGCACACGAGGGCGGCGAGACGGTCAAGGAGCAGCAGCGGTCCTTCAAGCTCGATCGCTTCAAGTATCTGCCCATGGTAGACAAGGCATACATGACCAACCCCGCAGCCAAGTGGTTTGTCTTCATTGAGTCGGACGTTTACTTCTTCTGGGACACGCTCTTCCGCCTGCTCAGCCAGCTTGACGCCTCGCAGCCACATTACCTTGGCGAGGCGCACAAGGGCTCTGAAGGCCGCCACTTTGCCTATGGCGGCGCAGGAATCGTCCTCTCCCAGGGCCTTGTCAAGCAACTTATCCCAGGCAAGACTCCTGGCTCCACCGAGATCCCCCGCGAAAACCGACTAGGCGTCCGATACGAGAATTGGGTCAAGGAGGAGCAGCGCGGCGACGCTGTCCTTGCCTACGCCATCCAGAACGCGACCGGCCACAAGCTCGAGCCCATGTACCCTACTTTTGCTAGCGACAAGCTCAAAGATGTGACCACCACACGCGACAAGTGGTGCGTGCCAATGCTCTCGCTGCACCAGCTCAAGCCACAGCAGATGGAAGACTTGTGGAGGTGGGAAAGGACACGGCCGTACAACACGGTAAGCATTTCCTCAGCTCCAACCCAAGCTACCTGACTAATATCACGTCATAGAAACCATTCACCTACTCCTCGTTCCTCTCTTATACCCACGGCTTCCTATCACAGGGTCCATCGAAAGAATGGTGGGATAACCTTTCGCAAGCGCCCGTGCCGAACGATCGTCCCGCACATCGCAACGCCGGCTCGTGCGGTTCAGAGTGCGCTAATGACGGCAACTGCCTCCAATGGTCTTACTCGCAGACCGTCTGTCGTCACGCCGACTACATCAAGCTTGGCGATGCTGTCGACCGAGAAAACGGCGGTCAAGGCGAGTTCGTCAGTGGCTGGGACACCGGAAAGCTCCGCGACATGGGCTTTGGTGTCGAGGGACAAAATGGCCAGAGAGAGTTTTACGAAGGTTGCGTCGAAGCCACCTGGCTGACCCCTCAAGAGATGTAGAAACACTCATACGTCAGCGTATAGAGACGGACTTGTATTCGAGACCAGTGACACATAGGGAGGCGTTGCGGTTGCTTGCACCACGTTCATGCATGGCGTTCTGGGTTGGCACATCATTTTGGATATGTGGAGCGTCGCAAACAGCGCGTTGAGCAAGCATCATGTTGACAGGAAGATGGACATCAGGCCGATGAGCTTCTTGGGCGAATATGTAATGAACAGAGTTTGAGCATAGACGCAGGGCATAAACTGCGAGGCGGTATGATACCGCGGGCGTTAGACCTGTATATGATAATAGCACACATCTTCACATGTACCCGACGCGCATTCGGCCCTTGAGGCACCCTCGTGGTAGGTAGATGGACGACTTTGAGTAAATTCGTCCAGAGCGGAGGCTTAACCTTCCGCTGCCGGTGGGTGGAATACAGTTGTTCCGCTTGGACCCTCTGCGTCGCCGAACGGCTGCTGCCAACTCTTGACACCACTATATCCTCTCCAATTCAACATTATGCCCAGCGTCGCGAACGACTCTAGAACCACATTCAGCCCATTGCTGACAGCCATGCTTGTTCAGATCATTACGACTCGGTCGCATTCCCGGTGTTGATGAAACTTGGCGGCGCCGGTGTGTTTGACGGCCTGATTCGGTCGCTTTCTGAAAATGTCGGTTGTCGCTGCTGCTCCACGCATGAAATTGCGCTTTGGGCAGTGAAAGCAGTAGGTCTGGTTCGAAAAGGATCGCAATGTGATGAAGAGTTGGAATGAGGTACGGTGGACGGTAAAAGACCGTTCTCATCTGAGGTACAACAGTCGGCGCGACTCCTCTTCTTAATGCTCCCAGGTTAAAAAGCAACGGGTTGCCGGTCCGTCCGGTACTTGACCAGCAGCCGTGCACATTACCCCACATCCCGGTTAAGGAGCCTCATGACAGCAGCGTCTTTCACCTATATTAATGCGGCCTTACCCTGACGTCGTCGGGCCTACTATAGAATATTCCATCACTATTCTCCTGCCCGTGCCATTGGTTAGCTGTCTACTTTCTGCAGTACCCCAAATGAAAGCGCGGGTATCCCTATATTTCGGCCATGGAACAAGCCGGACGCGTGGGCACCGACATGTTCATCTAATATGAACCGTGCTCAGATGGCCTTGGGGTAAGGAAGCGTTCAGTGTCGCGTTTGAGAACTGTATAAAGAGTGTCTCCACCCACCCACTATTGTCGTCTCATCCACATCCAGCGCATCCACAGTCTCTACTACATTCTTTTGAACCATCATCATGTTCACTTCTACGCTCATTACCTTGGCCTCAGTTGCCTCCACTGCACTGGCTGCACCCGCCCTTCACCCCCATGTCACTCGCGCCGCTGAGCCCAAGTGCCCCATCGTCTTCGACGGCCGTGTCCCTGCCAACATGACACCCGTCTCCTTCGACACTCAGGCCACCAACACACTCTTCAACGCCGACTTCGTCAAGGGTAACAACCTGACCTGGTCTCAGATCCTCAAGTTCCCCAACGAGTCCTCGCGCTTCGATGGCGACAAGTTCAAGGCTGTTGAGGTGACCATCTCGGATGAGTCCATCTTCCAGAAGCAGCTGGGATTCCGCCGCGCCGGTCTCCAGTTCCTCAAGGATGCCCCTGACGGCGAGGGTGGCAAGGGTGTCAAGACCCTCCACTGGAGTGTCAAGCAGGACTCCGCCAGGCCTTTGAACCTCACTCACGAGTACCTCAACGTCTGGCACGAGGCTGCTGACTTCAGCAACAACCAGATCCAGTTCCAGACTGGATCTCTCATTGGAAAGAGCGATGCCGACAAGGACCAGTTCAAGATTCTTGATCGCGCCGGCAAGTGGCTTTGGAACGTCAAGATCGACCAGACCCAGTGGCAGAACTTTGCTATGACCCTCGACTACACCAAGAAGTACGTTCTTTCTCACTCCTATCTCCAGAATATATACTAACAATCCTCCAGTGAGACCACCATCTTCTACTCCGCCGGCCAACAGGAGCTCAGGAAGGTCGCCGGTCCTTTGTCCGTCAACCTTGCTGGTCTCGGCCAGTTCCAGATGGGCATCCTCAAGAAGCCCACTGGTACTGACGATGTCGCCAACGCTGGTTTCCAAGAGGCCAACCTTGACGAGGGCCAGATCTACGGTGGTCTCTTCCTTGAGGACTCCAGCTCCGGCTGCGTTTCTCTCTAAGCGCGTCGCCAGAATGATCCGTCATGTTGAGTAGAAGGGGACGATGGGACAATTGTACATAAGAGGAAGACAGTGGTTGTATATATGGAACGTGTGTTCTTGCTTTGCGTGGGCGGTAGCTTTGTCGAATTACACGTGCTTTGCTTCATAAATAGACGTGCAGTATGAATCATGATACAGTTTCCGCACACGACAGACCTTCCCCATGCCCATCATAACTAAGCGTTCCATCTATACATGCGTACTTCGTAGAAATTGGCCAAGTCTTCTGTTGTGGTTATGGCGTTCGCGAGGCTGCATTGCGATCTCGGAGTTGCGTGATGACATAACGCCACGGATCATGCCGGCCCACGATGCACAGCTGACCCGATGCCAGCAGACCATGAACGATAGTCCGAAAAGTAGGACAAAGTTGAAAAAGTTGAGGCTGAGACGAAGTGCCGTCAGGGTCTAGGACGGTGCCTGCCTGTTCGGGCCTAGTGCGGACCCCAGCGGAATGATGGCATCACTCATGTCGACTTGGAAGTCTAGCCCACCGAGGTGACTCCACCGTAAGCTACGTACAAAATGTAGTCTCCTCCCACCACCGGTGTAACAGCCATTATACACGCAATCCCACGCTACAATGTCCAACACAGCCAACAACAAGGAAGTCGCGCCGTCAATTGACGTGAAGAACCTCTGCTATGCCTTCCCGGATGGCTCGAGTGGGCTGAAGGATGTCTTCCTTGACCTGCCACCCGGCAGCAGAACACTTTTGATCGGAGGTAAGCAACATGGAATGTTTTGTGGGAGTCTCGACTAACGATCCCAGCCAACGGCGCGGGTAAAACCACGCTCCTCCGTCTCCTCTCCGGCAAGCGCATGGCCCCCTCCGGCACCGTCCACATCGCGGGCATCGACCCTTTCAAGATGGGCCTCGAGGGTGTGACCTACCTCGGTCTAGAATGGGTGCTCAACCCCATCGTCCGTACCGACATCGACGTGCCCACCCTCCTGTCCTCCATTGGCGGCGACCACTACACCGAGCGCCGCGACGAACTCGTGCGCATCCTCGACATCGACCTCAGCTGGCGCATGCACGCCGTATCCGACGGAGAGCGAAGGCGTGTACAACTTGCCATGGGTCTGCTGAGACCGTGGACCATCCTGCTGCTGGACGAGATCACCGTTGATCTCGATCTGCTATCGCGCAGCAACTTCCTCAACTTTTTGAAGAAGGAGACGGAGGAAAGACCTTGCACAATCGTATACGCGACGCATATCCTGGATAACCTCGCAACATGGCCAACCCATCTCGTGCACATGAGCCTGGGCAAGGTGAAGAAGTGGGGCAGCACCGAGGACATGGATGTCAAGGTCGAGCAGGGCGAGCGCATGTACACAGGAAACAGCCAGCTGGGTGAGCTGGTGTTGAAGTGGCTGCAGGAAGATTTGACAGAGCGGGGACCTAGGAACGGGAAGGGTGAGGGCGCGTCGTATCAGAATCTGGAGGGTAAGGGTGGTTATGGCGCTGAGAAGAGGGTGGAGAAGGAGTAGGGCGGAGGAGTGTGAGAGAACACATCTCGGCACGCTTCAACAATGCGTGTCGATGGAGTTTCAACAGGCGTTTGGGCGGCACTCAACGATGATACCCCGTCATATTCAACAACTATATTTCATTGCACCTACACTTCGCCCATATCCTTACACGATACTCGCTCGTGAACGATCCAATTCATATGCAAGCCTGGCAGAAGGATATGGGATGATTTCAATTATCAACCATTTCGCTCACTTTGCGTGGCATGAGGATTTCTAAAAACTTCAGATCGTTGTGGATAAAACACTTCAAGTTGATCGATTGTCCGAGTACTGCGCTATCGCCAAAGAGGGAAGGCGCACCCCGCTTGACGCTAACCAACATTTTCCGTCACTCAGTCATTGGCAGCCGTTCCGGTCGTCCCATCAAATGCATGTTACGGTTCGCAAGGGCATTCAGTAGTATCAAAATGGCGCAAGCGCCACGCAAGCCTCTGATCACCATCGTTGGTGCAACAGGAACTGGCAAATCTGATGTAAAGCTTAAGTTGTCCAGTCACGCTTCATCTTGCTGACCACAGCAGGTAGCTGGCAGTAGAAATCGCGCGGAAATATAATGGCGAGATCATCAACGGCGATGCGATGCAATTGTATCGTGGGCTGCCCATCATTACCAACAAGATTACGCAAGATGAGACGAAAGGCGTTCCTCATCATCTATTAGGCTGCATCAGCCTCGAAGAAGAGACATGGACTGTGGGGAAATTCGTAGGCGAGGCTTTGAGAACAGTATGATTGAACGAAGTTCATTCCAGGTGATTACTGACATGACCAGATCGATGAAATTCGAAGTAGAGGCAAACTCCCAGTCTTAGTTGGTGGCACTCACTACTATACGCAGTCACTCTTGTTCCAGGATGCGCTATCAGATGAGCCCGAGTTGAATCTGAATGAGAATAGCCAACCTCTACCAATACTTGAAGAGCCGACCGACATCCTGCACACAAAGCTAAGGGAAGTTGATCCCATCATGGCCGATCGGTGGCATCCAAATGAGCGGCGCAAAATCCAGCGGTCACTTGAGATATATCTAAGAACAGGCAAACCAGCTTCGCAGCTCTACAAAGAGCAAAAGCTTCACCGCGAGGCCTCTGCTGTCCAAGCGGATGGCACAGCATCGGATAGTCGGTCAGGCCTTCGTTTCGAAACTCTTGTGTTCTGGGTGCACGCCAACAAGGACGTGTTGCATCGCCGTCTTGATGGCCGTGTTGATAAGATGATCGCCCGAGGTCTGCTTTCTGAAGTTGATGAACTCGGTAGTTTCCGTGAACGCCACGAATCTAATACTGGTGCGAGCATAGACCAAACTCGCGGTATCTGGGTATCCATAGGATACAAAGAGTTTTTGGAGTACCAAAGCGCTCTTTCGGACAACTCACGCGAAGTATCCGAGCTGGAGAAACTCAAGACCCTCGCCATCGAGAAGACGCAAGCTGCTACCCGTCAATACGCCAATCGGCAGATCAAGTGGATACGCATTAAGCTTCTCAATGCACTGATCAGTGCAGGCCAAAAGAACACCACCTTCCTAGTCGACGGTTCCAACATATCTCAATGGGAAGACAAGGTCACCAAACCCGCCATAGCCATTACCGAACAATTCCTCTCCGGACAACCACTACCATCGCCCTCTTCACTATCACCAGCAGCAGCAGAAATGCTGACACCGAAGCGCGAGTACGATTTGGGGCAGCGACCAGACCTCTGGCAGAAGAAGGTCTGTGAGACATGTGGCACGACGTCTATCACCGAGAATGATTGGAGTTTGCATGTCAAGAGCCGTGCACATCGAAAAGCAGTAGCCACAAGAAAGAAGCAGGAGAATGCACACAAGATGCGGAACGGTAGCGCGAAAAGCCCTCAAGCAGAAGTGATTGATGTTCTCGAACACTATCTAGATACCTTTCCTGGAAGCCAAGAGCCCAAATGAGTGGTGGGCTGATACAGCGGAGTTGAGAAGCCTCCTTCGTTCGCATTCCTTTCCTGTGCTCAGCAGCTGCACCCGCCGCGACATCCAGTCCCAGGGAGATTGTTTGCGTTACAGGCCCCATCGTTTGCGCACGTCACCCAACCACCGTTGCCTCCATCGAGAGCCAGCCAGCACCATTCTCCTAGATCGCCGCATTGCTTCCAACAGTAGCCGTTCTCGCAGTCCTAGGGACGAGCGGCACAGCTTTGCGCGTGGGATTCTTCGAGTGGTGAGATGTCGATAGCGGCGGTGGCACCAACGAGGATTGCGAGGGCGGTGATGAGCTTCATGGTTGTGGTTGGACTGAATGGTGAATTGGTTAGGCTTTGGGGGGTGGGGCACCATGGGAGGAGTCTCACTTTTTCGGTCTGGCGTTGGTCTGGAGGTTGTATTTGAAGGAGGTAGTGGGAGTTTGTCTTGTGCCTGAATGATCTTTACGTATCCTTCTTGTCTTTATATACGTTCGAAATTACACGCCGTGAACGCCGGTGATGATCCCAGGGTATCGTCGTGTATCCCTAACCTATCCACCAACACTCTGGAATGCAGCCTCTATTATACACCCTTCCATGTATCCAATCCACTTAGAAGCAACAATGCATTCCACTCAGGTCTCAATCATCCTTGTGAAGACGATCACAGGCACCGCCATTGCAAGATCCCGCAAGATGCCTGAAGTGATCGCAACGACGACGTATGCACACGGCGCCATTGCGAGCACACTCGGCGCAGCTGTCGCGAGTGCTGTCGCATGGCAGACCATTGGCAGCACAGTGCTTGCACTTGATGACGCGGTTGTAGGCCCTTGACGATACTTCACCGATGCTGCTATAGGGATTCGTGTTAGCATGTACAATAGCAGTCGTATGATTTATCAGTGGCTTACCTGTAACCTTGTGCGCCTATCGCGATGGCAGTGGGAGGGACAGCGACTGGAGGCGAAAGCATGGCGACCTCGTTCGAAGCGACTGCAACTACAGCCGGCGCGACAGCAGCAGGCGGGGCTATACCGCTGTTCTGCACTGAAATACGTTCCATTTGCAGCTGCAGCTGCGCGACCTTCTTCTCTTGCGCCATCGCATCCCTGATGGCAGCTTGCTTGTAAGTCTCTAGCTGGAGCTTCAAAGCGTTGACCTTCTCCTCTGCATCCTTGATCTTCTCTTCGGCCTCCTTCGCTGCCTCCTTCGCTGCCTGCATCACTTTCTCCTTGTCCGCGATCAATGCAGTCCTAGCGTCCTGTAGGCGCTCATTCGCAGTGTTGGAGAGCGACAGGTGGTACGTGAGACGGCTGATGCGATACTTGGCGTCCGCACGTTCTTCCTCGGCAGTGAGTGGCTCGCCCATGTCGGCGTTGGGATCGCTAGATGTTGTCAGTGAAAGTACATGGTAACTCGCGTGAGTACTTACGGGGATGGTGCCCTTGATTCGCTCTGGGAAAGAAGGTAACCGAGCTCTTCAGTAGGGTTCTCGAAGAACATATCCCGCATCATGGTGGGCTCTGGGTAGTCGTCCTCGTAGTCATCGGCGTCTTCCTCGTTGCCGTACTCGTTATCGAGACGGTCAGTTTCGCCGCCTGCTTCATGCATCTCCGTGTCCTCATGGACGCTGTCCTGGACGTCGTTGACTGCGCGCTGGTCGGCCATGCTTGTAGGCAGAAATCTTGCTCGATACAATGAAGAGATGCGGGGTCAAGTCAGGGCGGGTTTTCAGATATATCTGAAAACCTACGCTAGGCAGACGCGAGCTGTCTAGGCAGAATACAGCTAAGCAGTGGGGCAACGCTTGGCTAGTCGAAGTGAAAGTGAAAGTGCGGCCATCTCACGTGGTTCAAATTCTAGTGTACAAAGGAGAACAACACAAGATATATGTCGTTTCGATTGTCTTTGCGGTCTAGATAGTCTGATATGACGGTACGTAACACTTCGTTACACTGAGAAATTGCAGTCGATGAAGCAGAGATGGATGGTCAATCACTGCAAAAAGAATGAAGAGTCTTTCGGGTAAGAGAGATGTTATATTGTGTGTAGTCATGATAGAACCTGGCGGAAGAAAGAATGCAGTGCGATACTCAGTATGTGTTTGTAGATTGGTTCAGGTTGTCGCTTTTATACTGTATCATCCCCGCAAGTTGACGAGCCCAGCCTTGATTCCCCAGTCAATTCGCTACATATGCCTCACGAGATAATGCGCATAGCCGTGGGAACTTTCCTCATAACTCCTTCTCGCTCTCTACGGCCCACTTTCCATCGCAATTGCCTCCGATGTCCTGCGCTGGCGCTCGTCCTCCGCTTTCCTGGCTTCTACCTGGATGTCCGCGATATCTTCGGGATGCCTCTGGATCTGCGACCTGATGATGCCGATTTGAGAACTGATAGTAACCGCCTGATTGGCGTGGAGGTGAGTAATGGCTTCTAGCTTTTTGTTCGTGCGCGCGTGGGCGGCTTTCTCTTGCGCGAGTTCTGCTTCGAGGCGAGCGACTGGATCGACTGGGCTTTGGGGGAGGGACATGGTGGCGCTGAACTTAGGGCTAGCTGTTAGTGACCTGGCTCAGATTAGGGGGAAATCGGAGGAATACCTTGTTTTTGAGCTGTACGGGGAAGGTGCGGCTGGATGGTTGCTGGCAAGAACGGTCGCGGAAGACGTTAGATGGCAAAGGTGGTGGCGGGGGAGAGTGGACTATGATCTTGCGTTATCAAGGCGCGATCTAAGTCTCTTTCACTTTCATCGGCTGTTGTTTGTTGTTTGCTCGCTTGGGCGTAGGGCCGCACAAGTGAAGGTGCGTCCGGCACGAAATACTCGTGGCCCGTCTGAGCTACAACACTGAACCGTCACCGCCGAACCTCGCCCTCGCAGTCATACAATTGATTGCATCCGCAGAACTAACTCTCCTTCAGTTGCCAATCATGGCTGAGCGCAACGACCTCGTACCGCCTTCAATCTGGCAAGTGCCGCCGGCACAGACAGACAACGTCGGCATGAACGACCTACAAACCAAATTCCAGGAGAATGAGCCAGCACCACGTGATTTCTGGTTGCCGGAGCCTTACAAATCGTTCTTGGAAGAGTCAGAGAAGCGATATGCGCAACAACAGGCAGAAGAGGCAGCTGCCAAAGAATATCAGAGAGAGTTAGAGACGAGGGAGTCGGATCACGAGAAGGTTATGAGGCATCTAAAGCTTGACTTCAGAATCCAGGTCGACGGTCTCAAGCGAGAGAACGAAGAGCTACAGATCACGATTGACGCCTTCCACATGCTCTTTGACAAGATACGCGACAAGAATACGGCAGAGATCCAGGCACTTACTCAAGCGATGCAGCTACTTCAAGGTGAAGTGTATGCCAAAGCCAAGGAGCTCAAGGTCATGTATGACGCGCACGATGCTCTGGTCAAGAAACTCGAGGACGAGAGGGCGGAGTTACCGAAGAAGCTGGCCGACTCTGCGAAGAATGCGCTTGCTCTCCAGTCCAACGCACTCAACTCATCTGACAAGGCCGTTGTTTCAAAAGGCCTTGCGTTAGTACACGACAGCCCTTACTACTTACATGGCTAATTCTGTTTAGATCCGTTCCTGCGCACCTCAAAGGCAAACCTGAACGCTTCGCACACTGCACCCAGTGCATGCGACACAACTGGGACTGCGATCGCGGGATTTTATGCAAGAACTGCTCGATGCGAGGCATCAAGAAAGGTTGCAGGCGAGTTGCGTGCGAAGACTACAAGAAGGGCATATGCAAGAACAAACAGTGCCGCTTTGCACATGAAGGAGAGATATACAAGCGCCTGGATCCTTCCGAAGATGTATGGGGTGATGGCCGTGAGCTGAGTCCCGTCGAGCTCGACAAGATGGGTGTTTGGTAGATGGACTATAGCTCGCTAGTACTACATAGCATGAGAAACGTCGAGAGAGATGTGAGACAACACAGTATTGAGAATACAACATACAATTTGTGCTGCATTATATGACAGGAAAGATGGCTGTGGAGGCGACAAATGATTTTTGGTTGATGGAAATGATCCTGCGCATGAGTTGTCACGTCCTGGGTATCATTGTACACCTACATTTAGCGAGGTTGGCAACAATGTATACAATTACATCTAGGGCTTCAACGCTCTCGGTTCTACAGCAAAGAGTTTGTTGAACATGTTCTGTGGGTCGTACTTGGCCTTCAGATCTTGCAAACGTTCGTAGTTGTTGCCAAAGACGTCTCTGGACTTCTCTTCGTACTCTATTCGGGCGTTAGCATACCGCTGCCTGCATAACAATATCATTCCCGTGTTCGCGATATATAAGTGAGGATTTCACACTTTGGAGAGTACTTACGATCGTAGTTCCCATACACCATTGTCGCTCCATGACTGCCTCTCTTGCCAATCCACCCATCGTTGCTCGCCGCTGCCTCAGCGCCACCACGCTGAAGTTCGTTCTTGAACAAGAGCGCAACATCCCTCGACCACTGCCTACATTTCTGATCGTTACCTTGATCCCACCACAATGGAGCAACTGCCGCGTTGAAGTGTCTTCCGCGGTTCGCAAAGGCCATGTCAGAGTTGGTGACTTCAACAATCTTCGTCGGGTCTAGTAGCTCCCACATAACCTGCGAGCCAGCGGCATCGGATGTCTCGTCAGTAAACTTGGCGTACGCCTCCAAGACGGATACCACGAAGTCGCCACGAACAGGAAGCTCGAACCCAGCTCCCTTGATCGATACACGCGCGCCGATGGGTAGATCCATGAGTTTGTTTGCCTTGGCGTAGGGCATCATTGCCATGGTACTCATCAAAGGTTCCAACCCAACGATATCCTTGAATAGCTCTTTGCCGTCTTCTTCCGACCCATGAAAGATCGCGGCTACGAAGAACAGGACCTGGCCACCAGCAGGTGGAGGCCTGACGAAACCGAAAGCACTCGCAGCTTTCCCCGTCGCTTTCGAATCGCCATCTGCGTTCGGTGTGAAGATGTCGTTGCATGCTTCCACGGCCTTCTTGATGATATCTGGCGTCGGTGGAAACATCATGAACCCAGCCCACAGATCGCCTGTCTCATGGGTGCGGAATACAAACTCAATACCGACACCAAAGTTCTGTCCCGCGCCGCGCAGAGCCCAGAACAGGTCTGGCTTCTCATCGGTAGAGGCTTTGACGATACTGCCGTCCGCCAATACGACAGTACATGAAATAAGATTGTCGACAACCAGTCCGTGTTTGACTGTGAGCCAGCCAAAGCCGCCGCCGAACGTGAGACCACCGACGCCGGTATCTGAGACGGTGCCACCAACTGCTGCAAGACCGTACGGTGCAAGAGCTGCGTCAACATCACCCCAGACGGCACCTCCGCCAACTTTGATCGTTCTTCCCTCGACGTCGACGTCGGTAGTACGCATATGTGTATTCAAGTCGATGAGTAGTCCGCCGTCCGTTGATGATGCGCCAGCAGTCGAGTGACCACCTCCTTTGACGGCGAGATCAAGATTGTGTTCGGAAGCATACTTGAGGGTGATTGAGATTGCTTCTGCCGATTTGGGGATTAGGCATGCTCCCGCTGGCTTCACGGCAGCGCTTGACCATCGGTGAATAGATTTTGTGTATGCCTCAGTTTCCTTCGGTGTCACCAACTGGACGTCTGTATCTCTCAGAAGTTCGCGCAGTTCTGCGATGTCTGCTTCGTTGATCGGACTTTTGGTAGCCATCGCGAAGAGAGTAGTATAGCGACGAGTAAAAGGGACGAAGGACAGATGTTATGACGGATACTTGTACATATAGGGCTTCGAACGCTTGGTCCAATCTTGAGTAGACGAAGACGTGACGAAGCGGGTTCTAATATGGGGCGTAAGCTTACCACGCCGTCGACCGTCAGCAACGTAGAAGCATGGCGAATAGCTGTCGCCGATAGCTCGGCAAAAGTAAGGCCTACCATCGCCGGCCGTGTTGACAGGGAGCTCGACTGTATAACTGATATCGGACTGACCGTTCATTGGAGACGCCATGCGGTTTTCGCAACCCACCCATGGCGATCAGCTCGACCACATGTACACTACAGCCCATAAGGTCCCAGTTTCGAGCCCAATATCGCACGGTGTCACTAGACTCTCGTCAAGATCTATCGCCGTCTTTGTTCTGGGCCTGGCATGGACGTCAAATATGTGAGCTGGCCAAGCGCGTGGCGCTCGAATCTCGAATAGCTGATGCAGTTGTGCTGGACAGTGCCCAGTGAACATTCGGATGCTGACGGCCCAGGATAATGCGTCATGCTCAAACAGACGTGTTTGTTCCTAACCTGTGATGAAGCGCTGTCTGTGGGTTTTGGGGGTGGCTGATCAAACATGGAGTCGGTGTTGCGTTTCCGGTAACTCAATCAGACAACCTTGGAACCATGATCTGGAGGTCGACGGATGGAATAGAGGGCGAAATAGTGGATTCAAGGGGGTGCGCACGAAGACCGCAGTTGATACCACGAAGCTGTCATGATGGGAAGGGTCCGTCGAAATGACGCGCATAGGGAGCGGCGGGGAAGGGAAAGGGATCGGCAAACCTAGTTCAGCCTTGGCAGTCGCGTCGCGTGTTGCGAGCTTCTTCTCACGTCCGACGTTCTGTCCCATCCTGCATCCCATCTATTTCATCAGACACCATGCCTGCGCTCTCTTTTTTTTGCTATGTATTATGACTCCTGCATCGTCCGAATGGCGGCACGCGACCGAGTGCAATACCTGTGACGTCATGTTGTCAGCGCACGCGAAGTCTGCCTCAAAGGCTGCACAGATCTCGAACGATATCGCACGCGGTCGAACTATCATGGCGAAGTTTATTGCGCAGGTCTTTTCTGTGCGCATGCATGTCATCTTGCGATACTGCGTTGCGCGCTCAAAGTCGTGTCGCGAGCCAGGTCGGAGAGGATGTGACTCAACGCAAGCTCGACTTTCACTTCTCCCAGGTGCCTCACAAACCTTGATGGCGGCGAGGAAGAAGTTTTGATTAACGCCAAGTAGTGTGTCCTTGCATTTCGACCCTCGAAAGACAAGGCTTTTCTTTGTATAGGCCTCCAGACGCTGAAGATACCGTAACGGTTGCGGTACAGTCTAGGTGATGCTGGCTTCAATCCATTGCACAGCGCCGTGCACACATGGTAGGTACAATCTCACAACGCTTTTGTTCTGCTCGTCTATTCATCAATACTCTTTCCGCCGGAATCTGCTTGGGACCGTAAAGCTTGATGTGGGTGGGATTTTTGCATTCGTCTCGGAGAGGATGGCGAATGGTGTCTAGAAATTCGAGATGGCAAGACAGATATTTTATCTGCGGAGTTCATTTTCGTATTATCGCACGTTGGATTTCATGTTTAGGAGATGGTGTCATTGTGAATAGTGCACCTGGGCAGCATCTTCTCTCTAAACCAAGGTCACATGGTCGGCTTTGCGAGGTCGTCATTGCCGCCAGTATCGTGCTGCCTTCACCACAACAGCTTTGCCTCGCTCACCATTACTGCACGCTTACCTGGCTTGCATTTGTTACTCAGATCCGCGACTGCAAGCTGAGTTGTATGGCCTGTTGCCCTACGCGAGTCGCGATCTTGGACATTGTGCGCCGCCTAAATCCTCTGTCACCGACGATTTTTCAACCGCAGGACTGACCCATCGCTTCCGCGCACCACAACAACAACACAATCGATTCTCTCATTTTTGGTACCCCAACCAAGACCACAGACTTTTTCGCGACTTGACAGCGCAGCACATCTACACCCGACCTCTGCCAATCCCAAGGCAAAGCCATCCTTAAGTAGCGCAGTCGCCTTCACCTTCACTGGACGCATTCAATCCGACGCTCACCTGAACTATCGCTACAAGATTGCGACTAGCGCCAAAATACCACCTCTACTCGCACTTTCCTGCACTGTTTACCTACGTCTCACCTCGATCTTTGTCTACTCACCACAACACTATCCCACGATATTATCGCATCAGTCACACATTGCTACCCCGCGCGTTGATCGTGCATTTCCATCTCATACCGATTACCCGTACCCGAAACGCTCTTACTGTGATGGCGCCCTCGGCTCTCACCTCCCAAGGGAGCCCGTCGATCCCCGAACCCGCAAAGCCACAGCAACCCACTCCAGAAACGTCCCAGGAAGCTACCTCGCCCACAGTCTCACTTTCCGAAGAGAATTTCGCCCTTAAGCAGCGCCTTGCTCACTCTGAACTAGCCAAGAAGCACCTTGTCGAAGAAGTCGCGGATGGGAAGCAAAGAGTCATTGATGCCGCGAAGCGTGCTACTGCCGCCGAGATCGAAACGAAAGCAGCAAAGGCACGCGCTCAAAACCGCTATACAGAGAAGGTGCACGCCAATAACGAGAACCGTCACCTAAAGAAAAGAATCGATACGATGGACAAGGAGCGTGCGGACTTCATTGTCGGTGTTAATAGCATTCTTCAGGGTCGCGACGAGATGATAGCTAAGCTCGAGGAAGAAAAGGCTAGTGGAGAATGTTCTAAAGAAGAACTCATCGAGAAGTTCACAAAGCAGGTAGATGGCTTTCAACAGCGCTACCTCGCGTCTGAACGTGGTAAAGAGAAGGAGAAACGTGAAAAAGAGCTGGAGAAAAAGGTGTCTGATAAGATCATTGGCCAGCTTAAATCCGACAGGGACACGCAGGGCAACGTCAACAAGGATCTGAAGAGCGTGATCGCACAATTACGACAAGAAATCGCCACGGAGAAAGAGAAATCGAAAGCCGCAGCCGATGCGTCGACCATGGACCAGATCGAGGCTCGCGTCGCTGCTGCCAAGGCTGATGGGTTCAAAGAAGCCACCATAGCAAAGCAGAGCGAGAACGCTGAGTACCGAAAGACAATAGAAGAAAAGGCGACCGCACATGTCGCATGGATTAAGAAGGGCGTTGAGACGAAAGCGAAAGAGTACGTACAGAAAAGAGAGACTGAATGGCGTTCAGAGCAGACTAGTCTCATACAGAGGGCTTCTGCAGCTGAAGCTGCGCTGAGTGCTGCCAATACCAAGCTTTCGATAGCCCAGCAACGGCCTATAGCAGCATCAGTATCGCAACCTGTGCCAAACGATGCTCAGAGGCCTCCCAAACGGAGCCAACCGACTTCTTCGCAGGGAGCGTTCGACTCTAACAAGCGAAGGAGGCTTAACGAAACTGGGTAAGTTCTACATTGTTTCTATTGATGAAGCTGTTACTAATGCACACAGGGCTGCCGGTATCACTACACCAGACTTCCTGCGTACGCACTCGAACTCGCTTCCCTCCGATACCAATGCAATGAGCCCTTTGTCAACCACATGGTCGAACGGCGATACTATCATGGGCGACACACAGATGCAGAGGCAAGCTCGACATGTCGCACCGAATGGCATGCATGGACGAAGCTCGTCACAGCAGTCGACTGGCTCAGCAGGGCAGATGGCACCCGCCCGGCGTCCTTCGCAACAGCCTGGTGCCATGGTGGCCGCGCCTCCAGGACGCACATCCAGCAACATGTCACCCCAGCAGCAGCGACACTTGATGCAGAACTTGGCTGCGGGTAACGCCGGCAGTCAATCACCTAGATTTCCTCAGCATAACTTAGGCCTGATGCGCACGTCTCCGCAGGTCGGTCGACAGATGGGAAGTGGTCAGCAAATGACCAACCAGGCCGGCAACATGAACTCATACGACGGGGACTTAATGCTGCAACAGATGCAGCGAGATGCTCAGTCGCAAATCCGGTCACAGATGTCGACACCGGCGCATGGGTCTATGAGACGTACACTTTCGTACGGCTCAGCTTCTTCTGTGGCGCCGCCTCAACCTCACGTCGCGCAACACTCTTCGAATCAATTTGCACCCCCCACTGGGCAAGACTGGAGTATGAGGCAGAACTTTGAGCCGCAGAACTTATCAACAAACGGTACGAACCAAAGAGTGGCAGGAAACTACGCTCCTATTATGGAAGAGTTGGATTCGAATTTTGCCTTCGATGTTGACGCACTTACGGGAGATGTTGGTGCTTCTTATGCTGGTCCTTTGCCAGTCCTCGAAGACACACATGACGGCAACGATTGGTTTCCCACAGAACATAACAACACTCAGACGGCCTTCAATTCGACTCTCTTCTCGAATGGAACGCCTCCGATGTCCCAAACCGACTTCCAGCAGCCTCAACAGCGCAGCTACCAAACACATTCCCGCAATCACTCACAACCGTACGAGGGTAGTTCGAGAGACATGTCTCACGGGTCCAAGAGCCTCCAGAATGAGCCCACCATGAATATGAGCAGGAACGGTTCACGCCAGCCTTCTGTTTCGGGACGAGCGACTCGAGCTTCTTCCCGCTCTACACCTGGACCTTCTGGACCGTCTGGACGATCGAGACGCAAGACACCAGGTCTAGGGGAGCCGACTCAAGTCCCATGTGTGAACTGCTACCGTCACTGGTGGGAAGGCGAATGCGACGAAGGCGAGCCATGCTCAAACTGTGCTGCATCAGGAACAAAATGTGTGAGGCAGAAATGCATTAACTATGCTGCCGGCACTTGCGACAAGGGCATCAAGTGTCCCAACGTACACGAAGGAGATGAGCGTTACCAGAACGAGGAGTTCCTTGTAGCCCAGACCAAAGCGGGCAAGCGGCCTTCACGTTTGGGTACGAGGGCGGAAGCGAAGCCGGCGCCGACCCAGGATTAGGATGCTTGGCCTATTTGATATATCTTGAGGGCTAAGATGCTTGCCCGCAACTCCGGATGGTCGTTGCATTCTGGCGGCATTGAAGGGAGTTGATTATTTTTGTTTGGATCGAGTTTGCTATCCTTGGTATTTTTCCCTCCACCCTGGCTTGACAGCCCTATTGAGTTCCAGCCGCCCGAAAGGGCAGGCTCTCGTAGGGCTGAACATAGCCGGGTGGGGGTGGATGCTCTGGCCTTTGATAGCTCACAGCGTTGTGATTTCTTTATTGTTCTCTTTGTGCGACTCACTACAGGTACTCTCGGTGGTTGGAAGGTGGGTTGGAAACTGTATCATATACCGTAGTAGTAGTATCATAGAACCTTGATGATGCAATTTACCCTGTGCACTTTGAATGCTTCACCACCCTTTAACATGCAGTCTCGCGCTTGTGGTAAAAGAGAAAGTCTTCGAGACCATCTCTTTTGAGTTAACATCCTCATGGACTGTAGTGTGACAGTCATCTCCAGATTGTAATCGAATCTGGCGGTGGCAGCTCGCGATATCGACCGTAGCAATATCATCGCAAGCGTGCCAGATGTCGCGATGTTATACACTGAGGTCTGCGCGCCGCGCGCGGGGCTTCGATAATCACCTACGCCGGTGGCGGACCTGCGCTATTCCAGATACGATCTAGCTTATCAGAAATTCAGGGTTTTCAAGCTTCACCCCACATCATCGACGAACCAAGCTCGGCTTGGCTATAGCTTGCATGTCTTACTCGCGCCTCTTTCCACTCTTTCCAATCATCGGCACTTCTTTTCATGCGGAGTATCCATTGCGACCGCGATCCTTCCGACATTCCGCGCCGTTAGAGGCCTAGGCTCATGGTGCACCTTCACCCCATGCACTGCTAGGAGGTTATCTCCGACCATGACGAATCGCCGGGGTACGCTAAGCGACTACTTACCCGGCTGAAAAAGCTTTAAGTCGCGCAATGTTGGACTCGGAATCATTTACGTTCCTTTAGACGTTACGTCCATTTCATTTCACATCTATGGCTTCAAACGAGCCAGGCCTTGCGCCTCTCAGTGCGCCGGCTGAGGATCCCATCAAGGGAGCTGTCGGCGTACCCGTCGATACAGACACCCCCGTTGCACCGGACCAGTTCGACGAACGTTACGAGACATCGAAGTGGGAAATCTGGTCGTATTACTGGTATGCAAACTATTCCAGCGCCGGAACTCATTTGGAGCGCAGTATGTCAACTGTGCTGAGGCTGACATTCCATTTTCGAACAGCTACTACGTCGGAGACAATGGCCTCACTCTTTTCAACTTCGGTCCGACGGCTTTTCAAAACCTCATGTATGAAGCTGCAGGAGACTCCGAGGTGCTGTACTTCATGGGCCGAGACCGTACCATCAACTCCATTGTGCTTCTCTGCAACGGCATCAGTTTCGCCATCCAGGTCCTCGTTTTCTTGATCCTCGGTTCTTTCGCCGATTTTGGTACATGGCGCCCCAACATCCTGATAGGGCTGTCCGTCATTGCTTTCGGAATCGGCTTTGGCTGGTTAGGCGTTCATACCGAGGATAAATGGCACGCTGGTGTGGGTCTCTACATTGTCGGGCTTATCGCATACCAAACGACAATCACATTCTGGACTGCTGCCTTCCCTGGACTGGCAAGGAACACCAAGGAATTGCGCGTCAAAGCCGAGGAGTTCGCCGATGGAACGATTACCCGCGCAGAGTACGATTTTGCCGATATGATGAAGCGAAACGAGCTCTCCAACACGGCGTTCTATGTTCAATCCGTTTTCGAAATCCTCATTCTGGCTGTTATCGTAGGCATCATGTTCGGTCTGCACGTCAACGACAGCGCCGAGAACAATAATTGGGGTCTCTCGGTACTTATCGCCTTCGCGACCGGAGTATGGATCCTATGCGCTCTTCCATGGTTCATCCTCGAGAAAAGGCGACCAGGTCAGGATCCAGGACGCGCGAATATTGTCTTAGCAGGCCTCAAACAGCTCGGCTACGCGATGCGGCAAATCTGGCAACTGCGCCAAAGTCTGGCCTATCTGGCAGGCTACTTCCTCCTCGGCGACAGTCTCAACACAACCGTAACGGTTATCGGAACCCTGCAGAACGAGATTGTTGCATACAACAGTCTACAGCTCACCTACCTGCTCATCGTCGGTATCGCTGCCCAGGCAGTTGGTATCGGCGCCTTTTGGCGCATCCAAAAGTACTACGGTCTATCCACCAAGACTATGTTCATGGTAGTCGCCATATGCATCGTCCTTCTCGACGGCTGGGGCATGATCGGCATCTGGACGCAGCGCTTCGGTTTCCACAACAAGTGGGAGGTCTGGGTATACCAGGCCTTCTATGGACTGCTTGTTTGCCCGTGGTACAGCTATTCGCAGACCATGATCTCGGAGGTTACACCGAGAGGGAAAGAGTTTCTTTTCTTCAGTTTGTTCTCGATCGTGGGAAAGACGAGTGCTTTCATTGGCCCACTGGTCAGCTCTGCCATCATCGACGATACTGGCAATAACAGTAGTCCTTTCTACTTCCTGTTCGCGCTGAGCTTAGTTAGCTGCGCTTGGCTTTTCTTCTTTGTAGATGTTGAGAAGAGTAGGATTGAGCAGGAGACTTTCTTGGAGAGGGAGAAGAACACTAAGATGCACAACGAGGATGCTGAGAGTCTTACCTGATCATCTAGTAACAATTGAATCACCCCGTTCGCGAAGAGAGCAGCTAGTCCGGTCGCTTCGTTCAAGCCGTTCGACAGACCCTGATCCTGATGATGACGATACCTGGCTGCACAATGTTTCTGTACATGAAAATTCGGCTAAACAAGACATTCGTAAGTAAGAGAACGGAAACACACTGCTTTACCATTGCGCATCGCCGTGTGCTCACATTATTGGTCAGGCGGGACCTCGACTCATGTTCACAATGCACGTGTCTCAAGCTCACAACTGCCTGAAACCCGGCCATATTTCTTGAAGTTCTAGCAATTCCCATTTTATCTCATTAGTTCACCCAGTTATTCCGCGATTCAGTCTTACCAGCCATCGACATCATCAAGACCAAGCACACCGCACAACATCTGAACAACTACAGACAAACAGCCATGACATTAACCTCCTGGCTAACAAGCTCCCCCGCGCAACCCATCGATACCACCGACCCCAACAGCTTCACCTCTCTCGTCAACAAGATGAACCTCGCTTCCATAAAAGCCGACGCCGAAAACAGCTACAAAGAAAAATATCTTCGACTCCGTAGGCATATCGACTCAGACACCGTCCATAACGGCCTTCGTGCTGAGATCGCCTCTCTCTTAGCCAACAAAACCGAATACGAGGCTAAACTTCGAGACACTGAGAAGGCGAAAACGAGCGCAGACATGCAGGTCGTTGCGCTCGATCTCGTGATCAAGGATACGAACGTGTACTACAAGTCCAAGCTGGAGACTGCGGAAGCGCAGACTAAGGTTCTTAAGGCGGAGAATAGGAGGCTGAGGAAAGATGAGGAGGACATGAGATGTTTGCTTTCATTACATGGGGTTCGTGTACCAACACCAGGTTCTACGAATGATGACACGCAGACACTGGAATCAGAGTTTGATATGGAGCTGTTGGAGGGTAGCGGTATTGAAGACGATTGGCGGACTGAATCTAGTGATTTGGGTACGGACTCGACAGATGTTTGCCCTCAGTGGTATAATTATGGTAGGTGTAGTCAGGATGGCAGTGATGCTGCTGAGAAGTGCGAGCTTGGTGTGCATCCACGTCTTCTTGACTTTGGTACGATTCTGAAGGAGTAGAAGTGTATGTAACAATGTTTTGGGTAATGGGGATAGGCGATGGCATGTAGAGTGTGGTTGCATGTGGCGAGCACGACTTGTTTTCTGAAATGCGGACGTCTCTATGTTGTCGTAGATATCTCCTACATCATTATATAAACATCAATCCTCCTACTCCCCCAACACCTCCCTAACCCTCTCCTCACTCGGAAATCTGACCTCCTTCCCCGTAACCACATCAATCAGCTCTTTCACCCGTCTCCGCTCCTCTTCCGATATATTCTCCACCCGCCGATCGATATCCGCGCCAAACCTTCCCCAGAACTTGGCGAAACTCGCCGACTCATCCTGCAGATACTGGCCTTTATTAATAACAAGAAAGTTTCTAAACGCGTCCCAGCAGGTCACCGATTCCCTTGGCACAATCACATCTTCCAGTACGTTTGTGTCTTGTGATGACGCTCGACCTGCATTGTCGAGCATGTATATGAGCTCGTAAGTGTATGAGCGGTCGGCGCCTTTTGCCATGTTGTCGGGGTCTAGGGTGGCGCGGTCGAAATCGATCAAGACGATGGTTGGTAGTGTGGAATGAGACGCTCTGCTTGAGGCGGATACGTCGAGCATTACGTTTCCGCCGAAGACGTCGTTGTGGGAGATATTGGCTACGTCGTGGAGCCACCCAACCGCCTCCGTTAGCTGTTTTGCGACATGTAGTATGAGTACCTCCGGTATCGCGGGGAAAGAAAAACGGCGGGGAAGGTCAGTTTCTGACGCGGGTTGAACTATCGCGGTGACCACGACTCGAAGCCGCTCAAGATCGAATCCGCAGACGGGACTGACGACCAGCCAGCCCGACCCGCCGTTCTTGATCGGATCATAGTCGATGAGGGTGGAAAAGTGCTTCGCGACGCTGTTGTTTTTATCGGTCGCGAGAGAGCTGCGAACGCGTTCGAGAGCGACGATTTCATCGGCTATCCTGTCGCGACACATCTCTCGACTGATCATCTTGACGGCGACAAGGGCTGCACTCTGCGCCACGGAGTCAGTCGTGGAAGAGGTTACAGCTGACGATGTGCATACACAGAATGTGATGCTTCCACACGTACCCTTGCCTGCTTCGCGGATAGGCGTGTACAGCTCGTTTGTCTCTTTGTAGATTGATTTGGGGTTCATGTCGTAGTCAGATGTTGCTGCGAAAGTTTACGCTGATCACCGTATGCGTTGATCGAAGGGTCGCTCGAAAGTAAAATCGCCATATAGTCTGCGTATTGAATACGTTGAGTGTCAACGCAAAAGAGCAGGGTCTATTGATAGTGAAAGGAGCAAATGCGATGCTGCGGTAGGCAACAAGCAACGCTCAAGAATCTTCACTACGTCTAGCCCTGTTCAGTCATATTGTCTTGAAAGGTCTGAGACTTCTCACCGTGTCCATGTGTCGTTGTTAGGATCTAACAAATATCCGTGGTCACCTCGAAACACCGAATAACAGGTAACAGAGCTGAGGAAGTTGCGCCAACAAAGGAGTGAATCAGTAGTAAGAAACGCAGTGAACTCTATAGATTTGAGGCATCAAATGGGTGCCCAAGGTGTCCTGGTGGGTTGTGTTGTACATAGTCGCATCTTCCACGACTGCCTCGTGATAATATACATTGTTGGCTTGCTTTTGGCAAGCAAAGTGGGCTCCGAATAAAGATCCTGTCCAAGCAAGCCAGGCCCAGGCCACCGTCGTCAACACCACTTGGCATTGGTGGACGGGAAATGTGCCATGGTTCCTATCTGGCAGCATCGGTGCCTACTGGGGCTGAGTCCGGTCTCCTCCAGGAGCCTCAGGGATGTAGAGGATGCGCGAAGGAAGCGCTGCGTTTGCTTCGTCGCGATGGACATATAATTATTGTCATGTTGACGCGTCTGCATCAAGGGTTCAAGGGATCGAATTCCGTAGTATCCTTCCCCCAAATCTCGATGTGATTTACGTCTTCCCTTCTCACAACTGTAACTTTTCTTATTGGTCCTGCTCTTTTAGCGTTCATGCTATTGTCCTGGGTATTCGGTGTCGACTCGTTTTTTGATGGGTAGTAAACGTCGCCTAGCTTGAGCACGATGCTGTCGCCGTAGCCAACGTACTTGATGTTCTTATACTCCGGTCGCCAGAACTCTGTTCCAATCGCGAAGGCATGCATCTCAGCATCTGTGATTTGATACGGCGCCTCGCTTGTGTCAGAGCTTGGGCGGAATAGAAAACGAACGGCCCAGAGCTTGGGCACTAGAGCAAAGACCTGGCGCAGAGACTCAAGCGGTGGCACTGAGCAAGCGAAACCAACTTGCTCCAAATTAGAGCACGTTTGGCAAAGTCTGAACAGGGCATCGTCGGATAATACCCAGCGATCCGAGAGAAGGAGATGGCGAATGCTGTGGTTGTGATTGGTTTGAATGGCCGCAATAAATTCACTCCCGATGCTGCGACAGCGTTGGTCGGTCGTGTGTTTTGGAGTACTGCTCGCGCTAGAGACTCCGATGACACCTGGCGTCATCGTGGACGGTGTTGTTGGGGTTGCAGCAGCGCTGGTAGATCTTGGTGAGTCCTTGCCTCGCCTATTGCTCACAATGTAAAACCGCTCCATGCCCTTGAATTTGCCTAGCATGACAGCGCTCTCTTTATCCGTATTATCGGTGCGCATCACCTTCAGGTTGTGAGGCGTCGGGTGATTACTGTGTATCCTCCAAGAGTCGTCGGCAAAAACGGTCATAGGGTCCGAGGAGCCCATGGCGTTGATCAGGGTGAGCTCTGTATTGGTGTCGGGGCGGATAACATGGTGGAAGCCATCGTCGGAGAAGCGAGTGTAGATGTTGTATATTCCCAGGTGCTTAAGAGGTATAGAATACTTGGCAGACATGCATCGTCCGAATAACGAGTGCAGCGAAATCGACTCTTCGCCTACAGCCCGCATGCGCGGACTCCAGTGTAATGTGAGGTGCTCGAGCTTTTTGGAACCCAACAGAAGCAGCGAGATATCGTCGGGGTAGCAGAGAGGATCGATATCGTACACGATCAGAGTGGTCAGGTTCGGAAGCGGAGGTATAATGGTGGTCGGCCGTGGTATTCGTTTGGTTTGACACCGAAGGGTGAGCGAGACAAGCGTCGTCCTGGCTGCGATGCCCTGGTAGACGGTATACAAAGGAGGAGTGCTCAGCTCCCAACTGGGCATATCAGCATTTGTCCGATATGATTCTGGTACGACACCTACGCGAAAGCCTTGAGGTTCTTCATCTTGTCAATGGCGGCACGCATGACAACCTGCAGTATCATGCTGTTGTCCGGCACTCGGCCCTGCTTGTATTCCTCCGTATCATGTTCTCGCCAATCGCCTTTGACCCGGAACGTCTGTATGTAGTCGCCAAAGTTTCGCGACACGAGCGTGTTGAGGCCCATGGCAAACGGGCTGCCATTGCCGTAGCCTTCTGGCCTGCCATCTACGTATCGTATCTCGGCATACGAGTGTAACGTGACCGTCTCGTAGAGCCGCGGAAGCGTCATGTAGTAGAACAGACGCGACGTGCGCGTGATGCGCGCGAGGTCACCGACATCGTCGAGCTTCCGTGCGTGTTAGTATAGCTCGGTTGGGGCAGCTCGTCGCGTGGCAGGGCGCAGACCAACGTACGTGTGTGAGGATGAGCTGAATCAGGTGCAAGGGCAGCTCTTTCGCCTGCGCTAAGTTGCTGTGCGTCCGCGCGGGCGAAGTGAACCAGGTGTGCAGCGGCGCGGCCATGGCTCTATTGCTACCCTCTTGCAGCAACAAGGCATCGCCCGAGAGACGCGTGCGCTTTGGGTCCGACATGAGGCTAGATCAAGGGGACACATGCGTGATACAAACAAAAAAGGGTCCGTACTATCATGGCGGAACTCACAGCTTCATGGCGCATGCATATACGGTCATCATGGCTCATACGTCGTGCTGGCGAGGCGCGTCGGAACTTTTGCTCAGACGCCCGAATGTCCGCTTCGTCCACCAAGCGCGCCCGCATTGGTCCGGCTGCTCCGGGAAGACTCGGTTCACACCTGGACTGATGATCGACACCAGGCATCGTGTCCATTCACGTGCACTGCAATACGGCATATACGTTCTGCACCAGGACCATGCAAAGTCTTGCATTACTCTCTGTTTGGGTCCAAGTCATCGCTATGTGACTGAAGTATGCGTGGCCCCCCTGTGTGCGTGCAGCCAGAAAGGCTCATGGTGGGCGGAAATGTCTCCGATCACGACATGCGCACCAAACAACTTAAATATCCAGCGGTTCCGCCCGGAGAACCAAGATTTCGGAGTCGCCGTTTGCACCGATGCAACTAAACTTCGCTCATGACCTGAAGAACCAGGGCTGTTTGCCCTTGTATTCGTCCGCAGGAACTCGAAAAGGGACTTCAATCGTTCCGTCAAACACGCTCATCGGTGGTACGTCATCCTGCTTGAGACCCTGAAGCTTTGACTCTGGTACAGGCATGACAACTCCACACTCCCAGTTCCTGTGATGTTTTATACTAAGTTAGCATTTGTCTCACATGCAAACCAAATGTGTGTTTGCGTACCTGATGTTCAGACTCCCCATTTGTCCGCTCTTCAACACCTTTTGCCCTCCCCACGCTGATTCGGATATGTTGGCAGAGCCAACATAAACCCAAGCAAAGGGCTTCCCGTTCTTTCTACGACCTCGCGCGAAGAGCAGTTTGCTATGCGACAGCATCCCCCGTCGCATCGAGTCGTAGTCTCGCATGCATTCTCTTGGAAACGATGGTGCGTTGTAAGCCTGTCTTGTCAACGTAATGATACCGGCACCGTCAGGACCGCCCATGCTTTTCTCAACCGTTTCGTTGGTAGGGAAATATATCCGAAAACAATCGCGTACGTTAGACTCTGGCGCAGTGTTTGTCCCGAACGACTTGCCGCATGCAGCGAGGCGAATGCGCGACAAGAAGGCATCGTTGATAGAACCGAGCGAGGATGCTGCGTAATCAAGCTCAATATGCTCGACTTCACCTAGATTGAGCTCTCTTATAGCGTGTGCGAGGCTAGGGAGACCTGTGGGATGGGTTGATTCGGTCTTGTGCGAACCGCCACTATTTTGAGTTAGTACTGGCCCCTAATGAGCATAGTTGAGGACATACATGGAGTGCACAAAGGCCAAATGATGAGTCTTCGAGAAGTCGCATTTCAACAGACCGGTGATGACCTGCGGACCCACTTCCTGCTGCTCCAAGAAGTATACCAACTCGCGACCAAAAGGTGTCAAGTCTTTCGCCTCCGTGACAGTACCGTCATGTCTGCGAGGGAGGTCTATCAAGAACACCGAGTTCTCCATGATGCCGGGCTGCCAGTCGTTTGCGACCTCGCCCCAGTCGGTCTGTGTCATGTTTGCAGTCGGAATCGCAATGCGTAGCTTGTCTTTTCCGAACAAGAGCATGAATTTGCTGTGCATGCTGGCTATCATGCCACCCATAGGCGGAAAATGAAGCTTCATGTTCGGTACGCGAGACTCCCTCCACTCTTGTATGCGCTTTGCCTGAACGTCCTCGCCTCTGTGCTTGCCAGTCATCAGCCAGATCTGCTTGACCTTTGTCGGATCAAGTTTTTCGTATAGCCATCCCGAATCGTACTGAAATGAGCTGATGACTGCGGTATTGACTTTATCGGCTTCTAGTAATTCTTCAATAGTGATGTCGTCAGTTCGTGGGTATTTCGACGCGAAGGTGCGCTTGATCGCGCCATTGGGGTATTGTAACGGTGTTTCGCCTGAATCGCTTTTTACGGCAGGCGCTCTTGCAACTTGCTTAGAAGGTGCCTCGGGAGATGCCTCCCGCTTCCTTTTGCCGAGCCTTGCGAGACGCTCCAATTCCATCGCTTTCCGATCCATACCCATGAAACCTGGAGGTTTGTCGACGACGGCTGCTGTCTTGGTCGCACTCGTTGGCAATGCGCCCGAAGCCGATGACTGTTGCACGTCATTATTCGCGCTTTCCTGTGTCGATAGGGCAATCGCACGCCTGAGATCGTCGTCATCTTCGTCTTCGGTGTCAGACGTGAGGTCGATTGACTCGTGGTTATCGCCCGATGCGCTGCCGCGTGCAGCCCGAGGCGAATTCGCCTGTAAGGACATGGCCATCGCAAGCTTGAGATCTTCATCATCAGAATCCATATGTCCAAGAGTCAAGATGTGGATGTTGTGAGAATGTTGGTGATTGGGTAAACAAAGAGATTCGTTGAGAAGCGGAAGCGATCCGGCATGGCAGGACCCCCGGGGCCTGAACGCGCTGTCGCGAAAGCATGTGACTAAGGCTTGGCAGCCTACCTGGGTACCCAGGCAATCACGGCTTCGAGCTCATTCTGTTCTATCACACCAGCGAGGGTGCGCCTTGGTACATAGCAAGGGATACACGGCTGAAGCTTCTGAACATCCCGATCTAGACTATTTCCATCTCCTACAAAAGTCGTTCACTTAGTTTTGCCGTCGACAACCCCGCCCGTCCGCTGCACGTTGCGAAACACCACCAAGTATCCCAGATCAGCCAGGATCCAAGTCACCATCATCACCACTGATATCGGATTGACATAGTAGCCATGCGCCTCTGGCCATACCCACCAAACATATCCGTAATTCACCGTCAACCCCGACACACTGCCGATAAAACGGCACGCCCAAATGCTATACGAAGAGCCGCGACTACTTCCTCTGACCACAAGCTGTGCCAATGACATGACGCTCAGTACGACTTGTGCGACCATCGCAGTCCAGTATCCTAGCTCGTCTTTGTCGATACCCAGAATGCCGCGGTACGCTTTTCCAACTTTTGGGTTGACGGGGTGATCGACATCAAGCCACCAAGAGCTCACAGCATACAACGCGATGCACCACCATACCAACATGCCAGCAAAGATCTTGCCGATATTCCTGCCAACTGCTGGCGCATGTCTCCATTCATTCGCGCCGTAGGTGACAGCTGCATAGACAATGCCCATGTCTAAGAGTCCCCATATGGCGAAGAGGGCCTTCTCCCGGAGCTCATCGGCAACGTATATCGCGAATACAATCTCCCACGCAAAGTCTAAACGTTGGTGTACCGGGTCAGTATGTCTCACATGCAATCCGTATGGAAAAACCTACTGAATGCAAGCGAGAAGAGAGGCATGGCGTATGTGCGGTCGCGAATGGACTGTCGCGCCATCAGGGCGTAGCAGATTGTGTATAAGATACCACCAGTGCCGAGGAAAACATCGTTGGCGTCGAAGATGGAGGGGTCGACGTGCGCGGGCAAGATGTCAATGCGACCCATGATTGCGAGTTTAAATCAGAGAAGAGATGAGTAGGCGTAACATGCGCAGTGTGAGGGAGTTCAACATATATCGTGAGGGGGTGGGGCCCCTGTCATCACGAGCTTAAGTAGCGCTTATGGTTAGTTCGTAAGGGGGGTGAGGTGTCATTCGGACCGCTTCTGGGCTCCCGCAAACTTGTATACGCCGCCCTTCAAACTTCGTCCTTCCAGCTGCAATGCGACCATATCACATGCAAGATGTTTGTGTGATTCGGTACATTGCAGTGTGGTTTCTGACGCGGATATCATTTCGGCTTTGGCTGTCCTTGACTACCCTCCGTGTAGCGTAGATACAAACATGATGTGATCGCCTCTCTGAACCTCGTACTTGTCTTCACCTTCCAGTTCCCAGTCTGCTTCGTTGATGAGAACCAGTATACCAGGTCGTCTGAAGCTAATGTCAGCATGTCATTGTTCTCTGGGAGAGGAACATACACAGTATCGTCAAGCACGAAAAGTTCTTTCCGTGGATCCTTCATGACCTTGTCGCAAAGGTGTCTGACAAGAAATGCAACATTTGCTGTCTCTCCAGACTCATCTTTGGCTGGTAAGGCAAGATCATACTTTTTCTGGTTGGCGAACAGGATCTCCAGGCCCCCGCTGTAGAAGATTAGAGAGAAACATCGCCATTTCGCAAAACAACCGACCCACCTGAACTCTATCGTTATTGGGATCGTCTCATCGTTTGACATTTCGTCTCTGCTCGTCTGTGAGATGCTAGAGTTGTGAGAGATGCGGATGTTATCGAGATCGGTTGCGCCTGCTCTGCAGCCCTGAGCCAAATGCAGCTAAGCGAGGCTAGCGCCAAAGAAATCCTTACGGCGATGACTAGATGCGGTGCCTGCGCATACGCAACGCCTAGACCCAACAATGAACACATCTACTGAGTTCATCGCTGCAGGTGGCAATCGAAATCCCGCTGCTGCTGACTGGGATGAGGCCGGGTCGCAACTGCTAGCGTTCGGCGCAGACAACTGCATCGCACTCTGGGATCCTCAGGTGAGTCGCGGCTGGCCAATGACACAACCTTCACTCACCAAGATAGGACGAAAGTCTTCGTGGCGTGCAAGCTATTCTGAGTGGGCACACCAAAGCTGTGAATGCTGTCAAATTCTTTCCAACACAATTGCCCAATGTCTCAGTCCTGCTCAGTGGATCGGCGGATAACACAATCCGCATATGGCGAGGCCAAAGAGGCGAATCTTTCGACTGTGTCAAGACGATCTCAGATCACACTCAGCCAGTCACCAGGATAGCTGTGCTACCTGGCTCGGACACTTTGGCAACCGGATCTTCAGACGGCACTGTCAAGATCTGGAAGCTTGTTCATGATGCAGACTTCGGATCCGTCGATGTCGAGCTTGTACAGACCATCACACTATCACCAAAATACTTCCCTCTGAACCTCGCACTTGCGACTCTGGACGACAAATCTACAGTGCTAGCAGTTGCGGGCACACGTAGCACCATTCAAGTCTTTGTATCGCAAGAAGGCCAATTCCAGCTTTCGGCAACTCTGACCGGTCACGAAGGATGGATACGTGCGCTTGCATTCACTAGAGAAACGTCTGATCTGAACAGCGACCTATTGCTGGCATCCGCAAGCCAAGACAAGTACGTCCGTCTTTGGCGTCTCCACCGTGGGGACGAGCTTCCCGCTGCTAGTACTGCACTCAACGATCCAGCTTTAGGTGGATTGGGCAAGTCCCTTTCAAACAAAGCACATTGGATCAGCTCTAGTACTTCCAAGTACTCCATTACATTCGAAGCGTTGTTATTAGGACATGAAGATTGGATATACCAGGCCTCGTGGAGACATCGCGAGGAAAAGCTCCAATTACTCACCGCTTCGGAAGACAACTCACTCGCCATCTGGGAGTCGGATCCTAACTCTGGTGTGTGGGTTTGCACCACCAGACTAGGCGAGATAAGTGCGCAGAAGGGCTCGACGAGCGCTACCGGAAGTGCTGGAGGTTTCTGGATCGGCCTTTGGTCGCCAGACGGGAACACTGTGGTATCACTAGGACGAACTGGTAGCTGGAGGAAGTGGACGTACTCGGCCACGGAAGATATGTGGACGCAGCAAGTCGCCATTACAGGGCATGTGCGCGAGGTCAAAGGCGTGAGCTGGTCAAGAGATGGGTCTTACATGCTCTCCACTGGTTCCGATCAAACCAGTCGGCTCTACTCGCAATGGAAACGAGAAGGCGCACCAGCATCATGGCATGAGTTCTCGCGGCCCCAAATCCACGGCTACGACTTGAATTGCATTGACGCGGTCTCCAACACCCAATTCGTCTCGGGCGCAGACGAGAAGTTGCTACGCATTTTCGACGAACCTAGAGGTGTAGCGGAGATGCTTCAAAATCTCTGCAGTATCAAGGCGTCAACTACTGCTGAGCTTCCGGATGCAGCCAACATCCCCGTCCTTGGTTTATCGAATAAAGCTATCCAAGCTGTGGGAGACGACGAGCCAGTCGAGAACGGCGACGAAGACGAACGTGAAGCCGTCGACCCTGCCTCCGTAATCCGCAAATCGACGCTGGACTTCAGTCACCCACCATTCGAGGATCATCTGGCACGCCACCTACTATGGCCGGAGACAGAAAAGCTATACGGACACGGCTATGAGATCTCTGCTGTAGCAGTGAGCCGGGATGGAAGTCTCGTTGCAACGGCCTGCCGAGCCAGCTCTATCGACCACGCCGTCATACGGCTGTACGACACGAAAGAATGGCTAGAAGTCAAACCGGCACTCAAGGCGCATTCACTCACCGTCACAGCGTTACAGTTCTCACCAGACGACAAGTACCTTCTTAGTGTTGGACGAGACAGACAATGGGTCATCTGGGAGCGCAGCGAAGAGCAGTCATTATATGCACTCAAGCACTCGAATCCAAAGGGCCATTCACGCATGATACTGGGTGCAGCCTGGACACCGCTCGAACAACCTACATTCATGACTGCTGGTCGAGACAAGAGTGTCAAGATCTGGCAGATCGCCGAGAACGACGTGCAACTCAAGGCTACCGTATCAGCAAACGCCGCTGTTACCGCTGTAGCTTGTAACGGCGTGCATTCAGATGGAAAGATCATGTTTGCCTTTGGTACAGAGAACGGAGAAATAGGTATTGCGAGCGCATCGCCAGATGCTTTGGATCAGGCACAAGTATCAATGGTCAAGGCAGACTTGGTTCCGGCGAAAACTATCAATCAGATCGTCTGGCGACCTGGAAGAGCAGATGGCGAGCCACAACAGATCGCCGTAGCAAGTGATGACACCACCTTGCGCGTCTTCAATGTTTCGGATGAGGTATTGCAGCACTAGCACAAGGCATCGAAAGGGTGATACATGGATGTCAACAGTTGGATAAACTTTACACTATTAGGTAGGTTTCGCTGGGGTATCTCGCCAAGAAAATTCACTTCCTTCAACCTCATCAATGAAAATAGTACTACATATCCACCTCTTCGCTTAAGCGTAACGGGATCCAGCAATCTTCTCAGGCAAATCCGAGGCTGCCATGCTAGGTTGACCCTTTGGGTACTGTCCGGGCGCCATGCGCTGAACCGGCTGCGTCATCTGTGGGTGCTGCCCGAACTGCTGCCCAAACTGCTGCATCTGACCCGGTCCTTGTTGCATATACGGGGGCTGAATTGGGGGCTGGTTCGGGTACCCTTGCTGGTTGGGCGGCATCTGATAGTACATGACCTGGCCCGGCTGCGGTTTCATGTGTGCCTGTCCTGGTGGCGGCACAACAGCACCATTACTGATCATGTTCTGCACGATTTCAGCAGCAAGCTTTTCGGCGTCCTTGCTCGTTGTGCGGCGGCGGTGGCGATGGCAGTCAACGCAAGCCCACACGAATAGCGCAAAGTGAATGACCAGGCCGAAGAACTGGCATACCACGCCGGTCAAAGTGACGTTTGAGCGATGATCCTTTTCGGCCCAAAGTTTGTTGACGAAGGCGTCCTGCTCCTCACAGCTGTCAAATTGACTGGATCGGGAACAGTCTCGAGGAGTCTCGATGTAGCTGGTGTCCTGTTCCCATACCCATGTGTTGTTGGAAGCTAGGACGTACTCTCCATCGCTGCTGTATGAGTATCCCCAACCCCATGTATCGAATCCGTCTAGACCCCACCTCATCAAGTACCGGAGGGCTATAAGAGAGAACAATGCCGTTACGATGAAGCCAAGCCATAGAAGAAGATCCATTGCTACGCGGACACCTGGATGCACAGGTCGCTTGCGCAGAAGGAACACGATGATGCAGAGCGCACACCAGACTATCGAAGCAGCCCAAGTAATCAGACTGGGCCATAGAGACCAGTAGCTTTCGTAGCTGATTGAGTAAGAGGAGTCCGGGTCGTATTCACTGTCCATTGTGGACATCAACCAGCCAAAGCAACCGACTCCGATCAAGCCTGTTATGATGGCAGCGGATTTGAGACCAAACTTGAACTTCCAGTATCGATCGGCAGCATTGAGCTTGTCGTTGTATGGAAGACGTTCCTCGGTCTCGGTCGCGGCGCCCTGTGGAGCTGTCGTGTGCGGGATCGACGCCGGGGGTGCCATGGTGGGAACACCCGGCGCAGGGCTGCTCGAGGGAGGCATTCTGGGCGAGTTCGCGTGCGCAGACGAGGTTGCGGTCGCGTTCGTCGCGTCGGACAGTCTGGCTGCGGACTTTGGAGGGGGCGTTGGGACTGGAGACGGAGGCCCTCCTGAGATCGCGTCAGGCGCTTGCGGCACAGCTTGCGGCTGCTGCTGAGTAGAAGAAGACATTATTAAAGTATTAACTAAGTAGAAAGCGAGTGGATGCGCAGAGACATGCGCGTGGGATGGGGTCAGACAGAATCTTCACAAACACAACGACCGTGAAGAAGATCAAACGACCGCGAACAAAATCAGGCAACAGGAGAGAACTTCGCCTGGATGCGTCCATCGTGCTGTTTGTGGCGCCATTGGGTGCCTGAGGCTAGTCGGCATTGGTGTTGGAGATCACTTAATTTAGATGAGCAGGAGCGGGAAAACGATGATGCGGGCCGGCTAAGCTCCAGTCATCTCAGTCATCAATGCACAGCTCGTAACGACGCGCTTGTCAAAGCTTAATCGACGCGTGCTCCTTTGTCATTTCGCAATATCAGGGTAGTCCTTCTCAATCAAAAATGGGTTGGTTTGATATTAAGTACTTCATTGCTACCTAGTTGGCTCACCGGCGCCAACGCTTCGCGGGATACCGCAGAAAAAACATTACATCGTAATAGACCTATATCGATCAAATCCTGAAGCAATCAAACTTCATACTGGGCCCGTCCACGAAGTGGAACAAGGAATGACAAGTGCCGGTGCCCCATCTCAGTCATCTCAGCCATCACAACACGACCAATGGCAGGTCGCGCTTAGTACATTGGGTCACCAATAGCGGTGATGGAAGCAGTGCAAACACCGTCTTTGCAGTAACCAGCAGGGGTCAACCAGCCCCAAAGTTCTATAGTCTGTTAGCATCTGTTGTGGAATTGTTTCGTGGAACGTCAAACTTACCGACTTGCTCTCCGTTGGCGAAGATGGCACGGGCAATACCCGAAATGGTGGCGGAGCACGCCTTGTGGCCAGAGATCTGGTCGCAGGTAATGACGAAGGGAGCGGTAGCTGAAAGAGGAATGCTGGCAGATCCGTAGCAGCGGCCCTCGGCGCACCATGCAGAAACAGTGTTGTTCATGGAGTACTTGTCGCCGTCAACGAGCAGGTTCTCGAGAGAGCCTGCGACAGTGACGGTGCACTTGTGGTCGGTGTTGCAAGCTCCAGATACTAGAAGGATGTCGGTTAGCACAAAAAACATCAGGTGGAGATGAGGTAGTAGGTATACTTACGGAGACCGACAGCAGCTCCGAGAACACCAGAGAGAACCTTGTCAATGACAGGAGGCATAGCGGGAAGGTTCTCGAGAGAGAGCACGCCGTGACCCTGGACTGGGGCAGAGAAGCTCGATGGCATCGTTGGTTGGCCAGTGGAAGCGGCGGTTGGCGCAGCGGTGATGGTGGACACAGTGTTTGCCTTTGCAGCAGAACCCGATCCAGAACCAACGCTCACATCCAACAGAGCGCTGGAAGTAGCAACACCAACGTTGATGCCACCGAGCTTGAGGCCCAGGAGAGGAGAGGCATTTGCCGAAGCAATCAGAAGAGCGAGGGTAGTAGTAGTGAACTGCATTGTGAAATCCGAAGCTGAGAAGCGATTGATAGCACGGAAACACCGAAGAGTGTGATGGCCGAGATGACTGAGAGGAGCTGATAGAAGAGCTGGAGATGATTGAAGCTGATGATCCTGAGATGAAGGGATCTTGCCAGCTCTTTGTAGTCGTTCATGGTGGCTTGGTACAACGACGTCTTCTCAAATCTTCTGTTGTTGAACCCCTGACGTACGTCAACTCTGTGCTAATTGAGGGCAACCGGTTCGCACTCCGAAGCGCGCCTTCGATTTCGATGCCAGAACCCAACGCCTGACGATGTTCGCACTACGAAGTTTCAAATCGGCTGAGGCTTCCAGACCACCCGTTACAGATTCTCGATCTTCAGGCACGGATACTAACGTCGCTGATCTGCCGTTAAGCGAGTCCCTACGTCGGTGGTGTCCGACGCGCAAGATCTGTATGTACCGCAAGCCAGATCTATCGCGTGGTCACTTAAGGTTCTGCACTAGCTGGCCGGAGTGGTCTCCGAGCGATGCGGGACTTAGGACTCAACCAATGGGATCACACCCATGTATGACTACGCAAACCTACCCGCCTCCAAAAGCCACTTGGCAATGCCGAAATCGAAGCCCAACGCGCGCTGTATGGTACCGCATTTGGCCAGACCACGTTTGACTAGTACTCTTTTGTCCAGACGGCACTCCCTTTTCGCTACCACTTACCTGGTCGCTGGTTGAGCTACAGACGCCTCGGCAACTTGCACCAACGCTCGACTAGCTCATGGCTATACAACAGCTAGATTGTAGTATACCTAAGTACATCGTGGCTAATGTCTTCCAGTCTCGATTTGGTGATGACGATGGAGTCAGGCTTCCACGCATTCAAATCATCGGAGAGTCATTCGAGCTACTCATCAGTTCACTGCCTAATGCAACAACTTCACAAGATGGCGTTTGTATCACGCTGTGTGATGTGTTAGCTGCATCGTTCTCGTCCAACAAGCGAATAACCTCGGAAGGGTTGCAAAGTTACTGAGGTCTGGACTCCATGTACCTAGATCGGATGAGTGATCTCACGTATTGTGGTAACATATCGCGGTGAGGAGAGTCTCGAAAAAGTCGAAGTTGTGAAGTTTGGACAACACGACAAAGAAGTTGTATTACTATTACGGCGTCTATACCAGCTCGTACCGTCCTCGTCATCTCGGTATACAGGCGACAAAGAAATTGTGCATTAAAGTATTGTACACAGAAGAATAAAACATTACAGTCCAGTCGTCACCGGCGCAAGCTCCTCCAAACCATCCGTTCCGTCATCACAAACACCAAAGTGGTCCGCAAGGGTCATACCAGGCTTGCCATCGCGGAAGCAAGCCGTGTTCTTCGTTGCATAATCCCTCAGCGCGGTCCAGTCCCTACATTGGTGCACCTGGCCGTCACCCGCCATGCCATCGCCGTGACCATACAGCGGAGTGTTATCCGCATGGCACATAATGTGTTGACGCAGGGCGTCAAAGCAATGCAAAGCGTGATGCGAGGGGAAGGGCGGGAACTCTTGGCGCTTCAGAGCTAGATACGAGGCGCGAACGATGCGCTAGAAGGGGGTGGTTAGAGAAGATGCATAGGTACCTGATGTTTACTGAACAACGGGAGTGACGTACGAGGCAGTGGAGCTGATGGTAGGCTTGGAGAAGATACATCCCTTTACCAGGCATTCCGGGTATGTCCATAGAACGAGGCCACTGTAGAAGATGTCAGTCACTGCTCAGATCAATGATGGTGTCTTCGTTCCCGAAGACCTGGTCGGGGGTAACTCACGTGGTTCTCTGCCGCGAACTCATGGTCAACTGCGATATGACCATGCGCAGTGTTGATGCTGTCCCACAGCGGGTCTGCTTCCGTCGCATTGGGCGCACCCCATGGCGTATTCCAATGAAAAGGAACATACGCCATAGGAAGAGACTCTACCCTAGCAAGGTCGTTGGGAACCTCAAGGGTGCTGGACTGGGCGAGGCTGGTCAGCGTATCTCCCGGGGTCGCCGTGGCGGCCACACCCGCAGTGCGCCATATGGCAATCGAGAAGCCCAATACACAGACGTTTGCGAGGGAAAGCACGACCAGTGCTATCGTCGGATAGTGTCGTCTGTGCGCCGAATGCGAACACGAGGCGTGATCCGGGGCGTGATCCGCCGAGGAGACGAGCTTGTACCGAGCGAACATGGTGTTGTCGAATGCGTGGAGGAACGATCGAGGAACATTGCTGAAACCTGCATATCAAATACTCACGATGGTCAGCGCTGCGCAGGATGCACGAGGCAAGTCCTAACGAAAGCAGCGTGCAGTTAAGGTTCACGACGATGCCCCGAGGTGGTTAGCGCAGTCCTTAAGCATGCCGCAATCGCGCGAGGAGTTCCTTCCGGCCTCGGTCCGTCACGACCGAAAGTCGTCGCCTCACGATCTAGGTGGGTCTGCGAATCAACGCTTTTCCCCAGACTCGCACCAGGGGTCGGATCTAGACCGAAGCGCGGGAGATCTTCCGCATGTCGTTGCTGGGAAAATAGCCATGTGCTCGGGGTTTATGTGCGTCACTTGTTCGTGCCCAACGGCGCTTCTGTGCCAGCCTTGCGCACGACTATCGAGCTGAACACCTTTGGGCCACTACCGGGTACCTAGCTAAGGGTGAGGGTGTAGACATGCATTTTTTTCTGAGGAGTTTCCTCCGTCGTTCTTACCTGTGAATGCCATGTCTACATAACCTCCGCGTGATCACCACCGGTAGAACTCATCATCACGGCGAACCATCAGTCTCTCTTTCAAGCATATCATACTTGCGAGTTCTCTCCTTCTTGAGAGTATCCTCGGTTACTCCTTCCGAGTCCTTCGTTAAACCACCGCCAAG